GGGGGTTGCACGGTGGGTGCAAAGGGGCTGCAGGGACTGGTGCAGGGTGGGTGTGGGTTGCATGGTGAAGGCTGGGTGCAGGGGTGCTGGGTGCAGCGTGCATGGTGGGTGCAGCATGGGTGCAGGCCAGGCACCAGAAGCAGGCGTGTCGGGGGGGGGAACGACCCCAGAACCCTGGCCTGCACTGAGGGCTCCCCTCCAGCTCGGGGGGGGGGTTGGTGTGATGGCGGGGGAGGGGGTGCAGCCCATGCCGCCCCCCTGGCTGGGCGCAGGGTGCTCGTGTGTGGGCGCCTGGCGTGACTGCACCCAGGAGGTGAGAGCAGGGGGAAACCGCAGGGAGGCCCGGCATGATTCACGCGGGGCCATTTCTCAGAAACCTTCCCGGCTCCCACCGCGCTTCCCGGTGCGGCTGCACCGGAGACAGGGACACCCCGCAGCCTCGCCAGTGCCTAGGATGGAGGGTGCGAGGATACGCGTGTGGCATGGATGCGGGGTCCCCGATGCAGCCCCCACCCCCCCCAAAACAGCTGCCAGGATCCCCAGCCCCACGTGCGAGGGGCTGGATGGTGGCTGCGGCCCCATGCACCGTGCACTGTGCACCAGCCCGTGCCATGCACGTGGCCTCCCCAGGCCCAGGCAGCTCCAGGCACCTTGGGGACAGGATGGGGGGGGCAGGAAGAGGAAATATTTTTGCATTATCCCCCCACTTTTTGCACGAGTTAATGGCAAAGCGGCGGTGGGGACCATGGCACCGGGGCTATGGCAACGGCGCAGCACCTGCGGGATGTGCAGGGGTGACATCAAAGTGGTGCAGAGACGCAGCTTCCCCCCCACTGTGGTTTCTGCAGATTTGACTAACTTTCTCCGCTCTGGGGGGCAGGGACAGGGACGGGGGGGCTGCGCCCGGCCCCAGGGAGCAAAAAGAAGGCGGGGGGGGGGGGCTGGCTGCAGCTCAGCTCCCCCCCCAGCACAGAGCCACAGCCATGGGAAGTGGAGCTGAGGGAGGACAGGACCCCCCCAGACCCACGGTGTCCCCCAGTCCCCAGGGAAGCAGCAATGGGGCTGCAGGGGGGGGGAGCAGGATTGACCCCAACACTCACTGCAGAGCAGGGGTGGGCAGCGGGTGTCCGGGGGCAGCGGCGCTGCGACGGCCTCAGCCCATCTCACCAACACCCGCAGTGGGAAGAGGGGGTCCTGGGCAAAGCAAGGGGGAAACGGGGAGCTGCTGTGGCCAGAGCTGGGCAGGGGGGGGCTTCTCCATCGGTGGGGGGCACCTGGGCTGTGCTTATGGCTAAGGCGCATCATCTCCAGCCTGGGACGATCTCCCTGGTTGTAGAGCACCATTGCAGAGCCCAGGAGCATCATCCCCATCCCACTCTTCATCGCAGCCCCGCCGGGTGCCGGGGTGGAGGCTTTGCCCAAGGCGCCGAAGCCACTCAGGTCGGAAGCAGGTTCTTCTAAAAACAATTGTCTGCCGGGACTTTCCTTTCCCCGTCGAGCCTGCGTGTGACAATTGTCAGCTGCTCCCCGCGCTCTCAATCCCCCGAGGATTTCGCTGGCTGCCCAGGTGCGCCGGCTTGCTGCGATGCAAATGTGGTGCCAGATATAACCCCGCCGGAGGGAATGGCTCGGTGGTGCAGGAGCGTGCGGCTCCCCGGGGGCTTCACTTCCCTCCCGGCGAAGCGAGGGGGGGGTATCGGGTGTGACCTGAACCTGCTGCCCCCGTCGTGGTGCCCCGGTGACAGCCACGGCCCCGTCCCTGTTTTTTTGCCTGCACCCGCGTGTGCCCCCGGCAGGGTGTGCGGGCTGGAGTACCGGGGTTGCAAAACCCCCCCTTGGCTGTGCCGGCGTTGGGGACACAGCTCCGCGTGGGGGGCACTTGTGAGGCCCCCCATCCCGCCGTCGCTCAGCTCCCCCCAAGGGAAGCGCAGAGGTGGCCCCGCACCCTGCTCACCCCTTGTCCCCCAGTTTTTGGGGGCAGCAGAAACCTCGCACCCTCCCAGGGGCAGCGGGAGCCCGGCAGAGCCACCCAGCCCACGCGGAGGGCTGCGAAACGCCGGCGGGTCCTCGGCGGGATGGCACGGAGGAACGTGACTCAGTGAAAGGCTGGAGAATTGGGACAAGGAGGAGGTAGCGGCGGTGACTCAGTCGTCCCTCACCCACCCTCCCCTCCTGGCACCGCTGGCCTTTGGGTGCTGGACCACTCCCCAAGAGGGAGCAGGAGCCGGCCGGGATGCTCCGAGGATGCAGTTCAGCACCGGCTAGAGTTTTATAGGATTTTTCGTGCGTTACAAAGCGTGTTTCAACATGACGGGGCAAACGAGTTCCTCTCTGCTCTATCATAATTACAGCATATCAGCAGATAAGGATCTCTCTGTCATAACACCAACCGAACGTTTTTATAAGCCTGGTACTTTAAAGGGGTTTTGGTTCCAAGCAGAAGAGGGGTGAGGGGGTTTTTAGCATCAAAACAGCTCTTATTCAGGGGAAAGACAGGCTGGGGATAGGCTCTGGGATTCGCTGCCCCCAGCCCCGAGCCCCCTCGGCTGGCCCGGGGCTGCGAGCACCGGCAGAGTTTCACCCAGTCCTTCAGAGTTACCTGGCAGCGTCACAGCGAGGGGAAAATAACTCTTGGTGCTTGCATTTCACCCAGGCTAGGAAGGAAGTGAAGGTAAAACTAAAAAAAAAAAAAAAAAAAAAAAAGGATCCTCTGGCTTTTCTGTGTTTCAAGCGTGTCCAGATTCTTGTGGTAAAAGGTGTGAGGAGAGTATGAAATAAGTGTGAACAACGTCAACCTGCTAAAACAGGTGCTAAAAAAGGGCTGTGGGAGGGTTGGCGTGAGCCTCCACTCTCCCCGCCTGCTGGGATGTTTCCATCTGACTGATGTGCTCTGGCACGGTGGGCGCAGCCCCCAATCACCCCGCGGAAACCCTGAGCCCACCCTGTGTCCATTGGAGCAAATGTGCTTCAAGCACGTCCTGGAGTGGGTCCGGGCACACGGGGCTGAGCGTTGCCTTCACCCCACGCTTCCGCGGGGGGAGCAGACCTGTCCCCATGCAGAACAGGGGGGGGACACTGGGCGATCGCTACGGGCCTTGCCGGGAGAAGCGGCAAAAGCGCGACTACGTGGGGAGGAATTTGAGGGGCTCCTGCCCCTTCCACTGTCCCCTTCCCAAATGCTCCTCTCCCCGGTGCCGCCTGCAAGGGGGATGCCCTGTCGCTCACACGTGCGCAAGCATTTGCCAGCGCCGCAGCTCAGCACCCGGCCAAGGCCACCGCCGACGCGCGCGTCAGGACTCCTCGCTCCTCCGCACTTCTACCGGAGCCCGGTTTCGCTATGACTGTGCTTGGTAACACCAGGGTGAGGAGGACGGCGCTTCGTGACACATCACGTCGCAGGGAACGAGTCCCAAGGCTGGGAGCGGCTGCCTGCCTGCCCGCACGCTCGGGCGGGAGCCCTGGGGATCTCCCGTGGGAATCGCTTCTGCTTTACCGGGCAAATTTGGGCCGTTCCCCTCCCTTGAACGCTCATCCTGAGCTCGCTGGGGAGACAAGGAAAGCTGGCGGCAGCCCCGGGTCAGAGAAGGGCATGTTTCCTTGGACGATATCATTCATCGATTAACCAAAACTAAAGACCAATACCATTTTTCAGCAGTTCAAGGAGCAGACTATGTTATCTTTAAATCTCAGAGTGTATCAGCGCTCCACTGAGCAACTAGTTGGTGTTCTGCTAACCACCAGCCATCGCCATCAGCTCGGCAGCCCCGAGTGGAAGCACCATGGCTACAGGCTGGTCACAGGTTTCATCACCTCTTTGTGATTTACAGATCCCAGAGGCGACGGACGCGAGCAGCTCCAGCCCCGGCACTCCGGGCCCGCTCCCCTGAGCTCGCTCCTGCTCGTCAGCCAGCATTTGCCATTCACTTTCCAGCTCTGAGCGGTGTGATCGCCTCCGCTTTCATGGCTGAAGGAATGAGCTTTTGGCCGTGGGAGAGCAGTGAAGCACAGCGCAGGCACCCGGGGTCTCTTCAACTATTATGTACATGAGAGTTTAATCAAAATTTAAAAATTCAATAAACTTTTAAGAACAAGAGGCTCATTTCTTAATGCTAAAAGCCAGTTTCCTGAGCCTCCTCTGTGCTGCCCGCTGTTTAGGTATAATTCAGCAGTAAATAAAGAAACCAAGCGAGACAGGCAAAACAGCTGGCTGGAGCACGTTCAAAGAGAACAGTCCAAACAGAAATTTGTTTCGTACCAAAATAACCAAACCAGGCGCAGAATACATCAGGCTCACAACAAATACCAGCAGTTTTTCCCCCTTCTTTTTCCCA